CGATGTCCAGAGTAAGAACATGCATTAGTGGTGATAAACCAATCCTGCAACGCTACTCGTTTCAAAAAAGCTTTTTCCACATGGACATCTGGCAATGCGGAAATTGATTACTTTATTAAAAACACTCAAATTAATGCATGGAATCGGATATTGGTATTGGAATTGAAATGATATCCGTGGGATGCATTTCAGAGATTGAAAAAATAGAAGGTGGCTACAGAACCGTTTTTCGCGCTAAAAGAGGGAAGAATTGTTGAATGGAATCAGCATATCAATAAATGGCGTGGCTCGTGATGAAATGAAATATGTCGCATTGAGGTAATTTATTTATTGATTGATTGAAGTAAACACTCACTCCTATTCATTAGGCAAAAAGACTACAACGATGGGGCTTAGCAAGTTAGCTCTTGTGCACTTTATGGATTCACCAAAGCTGACACTGGTCAATATCTCCTCATTTTGAAGGAGACCTACGCAACACTTACAACGTCAAACAACCACCTGGTATGAAAGGATTAATATGAGCTATTGGATTGCTGGTCATATGGAATAATTCATAGGAAAATAATGCAGTGATATTATTCAATTTAATAAACGTTTACATATTAATTTACAATTGATTCGTTTCTTCATCCGGGGAACGTGCCTAATACTTCCTATAATAATAATAGTCTTTATTTCTATTGGAGAGTTAGGCCTTTCAGTTTTTGAATTCGAAACAGGTGGTATTAATAATATTAAGGGAGCACATCTCAGAATTGTTGAGTGGTCGTGGTTCATACTCCCAGGCAACGGACGTTTACGTATGATTATGTGGGCAATAAGTTCGGAAGAAAACCTTTTCACGATATTGTTCTGTTAGCATTACGAATCTGCAAAGGCCATCGTCCAGAAATTACCAAGACCTGAGGCAGAATTGTTGGCACTCCGATCCCACACAACAACCAACTGCCGAACAAATACTCTAGTTAACTAACAGGTGGCATATTTTTCCTACACAAGTGATTACTGGTCAAATTAACAAAGCGAAACCTCCACATTCTGGGCTATTTACAAACGGACGGTAAGAAGTTTTATTTAAACAAATATCGTAATGTAATTTTTGGTTCATTTTAGAATTGTCTTCTATCTTGATGATGTCGAAATTCCTAATGTTTAGTATAATAACTTCGCATTAATTAGTACGTTGCTACTTTTATTTATATTGTGGGCTTAAATATTTAAAGATGTATTATAGCTTAGTCGCATCAAATACTTTGAATCGCAAAGGATTTTTTATATGTTATAAAATTATATCATTTAATAGTTTTGATAAGTAATATAGTCTGGTGCAAATCCATTAATAAATTATTTTTTTAAAATAAAAAGTTTAATTTTGTCTCATTAAATTAAGTCATTAGATATTGTGATCTATTTATAGTTTAATTATATATATTTCATGAAAAAAAATTTACTAGTAATAACTTTTTTGAATTCTTATTTGTAAATTTTACTATATAAAATTTGATTAAAATTAATATAAAATATATATAGTAAATAATTTAATTGTTAAACTTTAAGACTTAATTTCGCAATAACTACTGATTCAACCTTTATGAAATTCGAAATAAATTTTTATCAATATCTAGCAACATGTTTGCGTAATTTGAAGTTCTAATATTGCACATTGATAAAAATAATGCTTAGAATGTAATTTATTTTATTTAGAAAAGTATTGCTTCATTTATTATTGAATAAAAGTGCAAAATAATATAAAAATAATATAAATAGTTAGTTTAGATTATTCTTTATTTAGTGTAAAAAAATTAGAGATTCTGAATGACTTTTATTAGAAGCAATTATTAACTTTTATTTTGAGGTACAAATCTTTTTGCACTGGACCATATCAAGTAATGTATTTTAACTTAAAGTTTTATATATTTTTTTATTGAAAAGATGTAATTTTAAATAATGCATTTTTTAAAAAATTTCAGCATTAATATAAAAAATAAGGTATTTTCTTTCGACTCTTCAAAAAAAAGTAAAAGTTGGATATTCTCTCAGAAAACATGCTCCAAATGATACCGAAAATGGTCCCCAAGTCGATGCTCTAAATGGTAATAAATAAATAAAGAATTGAAGGTGCGCCGAATGTTATTTAAGATTCTCCGAGAATTTGATCTTTCTTTACGAGATAGCGGTAAACTTCTTGATTGTACTTTAGCATTAAACTGTTGAAGGAAGGATTTTGTCGATTGGATATACACTTAACGTTAAGCATATATGCGATGCGATGCAATTCCAATTCTATCATTTCATCAAGGATGGTCTTGTGTGTGAATTCTAACTTGCACTATCCACCTCTTCTTTAAAGCCCAGTTTTCTTAGCTCCGATCTCCAAAAATTAACTTGGCAAATAATGTAAATGTACGTAGTATGTACATGTATTCTTGTGTCATTTTTCATTGCATAAGTCGACACGACTTTTACACATACGTATAAATCGTTTTTAAATAAACCACTGCCATAATCACTAATAAACTCAAAGATGGCATCTAAATCCTCGAATACTCATGATTGTAATGAATGTCATTGCTGTCAACATGATTACTACAACTACTGCAAAGCGTGTTCAGTTCACAATATTCATAATTGTTGTAAATATGTTTATTGTCAACGATGGGATAACTACGATGAGTGTTCAGTTCACAATACTCATTTTTCATGCAGTCATATTGATAAAGTAAATAAAATTTATGCGCAATTATTTCGGCAAAGATCAGATGACCTTATAAATATGGGACTATTTAAGTAGAAATGACACAATTTCTTAATTAACAAAATATAGTAAATTGGATTATTTCTAAACAGCCCCATATAGTATCATGTAATTTTTAAGAATGATATAATTGAATTTTTGTATTACAAGTAATTTATTCGATTAGTGCCAGCTCACATGTCAAATACTAAAAAGAGGAAAATTTCTTAACAACATTCATTTTTGTTATTGCATACTAGCTAAAATAGAAGATATGATTTTTACTTGTGTTATTATTGATTTAGTGATTATTGATGCAAAAAATTCATAAAATAACTACAAATTATGATTTCTTTATTTAGAGCTGGTATATTTAGTGACTGTTTTAGTGTCTTCAGAAACAGCATGTTTCGCCAATTAACCAGAAGGATAAGACGAACAGCCGTTTGGATTTCTCTGGATGAGATTATAGATTTTTTGTTATAGACAACGAGCTTAGAAGCTTCAGTCGCGATATGTTCAAAGACATCGTTCACGAAGGAGTTCATAATCGATATTGCCTTATTAGAAATTCCAGTATCTGCATGAACTTGTTTGAGTACTTTGTAGAGGTAACTGGAATAGGTCTTTTTTCCAGCCTTCCTCCTTTTGTCTTTTTCGCCTACTTGTTTCTGTTCTTTCATTTCAACTGGCACTTTGAAGTCGTTGTCTTGATGGCTGAAGATACAGGTTTTTTTCAGCCTTTGGTGGCATTTTTTAGTTTCGTGTTAATATTATGATCGAAAAAGAAAGAGTTGATGATATAAATTTATTGTTATTGTTGCTTTTTCTTCTATATTTTAATAAAAGTCATTATTTGTATTGAAGTGCATCAATCAATCACTTGATTTTATCAATTTGTTGATTATTCTCTTTCAGATAAACTACATAATAATATTTAAAATCTAAATTAGTGAATTTAAGACTAATTGTGTAACTTCTTTCAGGACAAAAATTGTAGAAATAATTCTAATAGAATTTTTGAAAAGGGTGATATTTTATTGCATCATAAAATCAAATCATAAATCTGTTGAAATGAGTAAGTTATATATTATCACAATTATGGAGCGTGCACGTTTAAAGATTATGTTCAAATATTAAAACTTATTGAAACTGGACCAGAGTGTGCATTTAACGGCTTATAGAGAGGATTGCAATTTATATGACTTAAAACTTTAAATTCTACATATTCTAATGGTTCTTAATGCTTAGATTGGTTATTAATAAATAGTTACCAAATATTTGACTTAGCTAAAAGTTCTTAATTTAAGAATCCCTGTTTATTTCAGCATCTAATATTGAATTCAATAAGCATTATTATATCTAAATAAAAATACTTATTCATCAAAATTATTTAAATTTACCGAAAAGTCCCTTGAATAAGCAATCCCTATGAATAAGCAACCCTCTCTTTAGGTTCAAAGTCTTAGAAAGATTGAATAAGCAACCCCTTTTTATATACTAAAATAAAAAAATATTATATTTATTCATCTAATTCTAAGCTTCGGCAGAAATGTAACTACTTCGTCACATTTGCAGTTGTTTTTATAGTGAATTTGTGTCTATTAATTTGCCGGACATTTGATAATAAAACGAAAAGCTTATAATTATTAATGCAAAATTGTAAGCTACCATATCTTGAATATTAAAGAGTAGTCAAGTCCATTGTTAATATTAGTCGTTGATTTCTTTAGTATGTCTGAATCCTTTGTCAAATACATGTACATGTATAATTTAATTGTTTTTATAGATGGACTAAAAAGTATAAAAATAGTAAATCAACGATATTTTTTAGCTTTTCAAGTTGTGCGTTTTTATATACATGTACGCACATGCATTGCATTAAACGATGAGATACAGAACGCATAAAGAAGACTCTTGCAACTTCTATTATTGTGTAAATAACAAAATACTCTTTAATATGGTATGGTTGTTGTAAATAGCGATAGGCTTATAAAACTCACGAATTTATTAACATTGATCTACGTACATGTACTGGTACATGTAGTAACGCGAACATGGACATGTACGTATTGTTACACTCGTAACACCGTTTTGGTGATCCTCCTAATTCGGAAGGATCAGTTTGGGCCGCGTTGTACATGTAGTTCAAATGAGTACCCCAGATGTACGTTTCCGCATGTTCTCTTTTTTTCTCAAACATTCCATCTGATTTTTCTTTTTAATCGCGGTTTTCTCTCTTTTCTTTCTCAAACATTCCGTCTGATATTCTCTTTTATTTTATCTTTTTTTTTCTTTTGATCAAGGTTTTCTCTCTTTTTCCTCGTGAATCTCTTGTTATATATATATATATATTTATTATTATCTCTTAATTAAAATCACAATTTTCTCTCTTAAACGTTTTCATTAATTTGTCTTAGATCTCTCTTGGACAAAACTCTTAATTATATTTTTCTTTATTTTCCTCTCTGAATCGCTTAATAGTCTTATAAGAATAAATTATATATAAACTAAAAAAAAATGTATATAAGAAAGGTCTACGGGCCTCAATAAAATA